GGCATGCTTTTTGTGGCAGGACAAACATCAAATTCATGGTTACTTTCACAGGCATAAAATTAGGTAGACCTTACTAAATGCATGGAATAAAACTAAATGGCAAATCTACGTTGAAATACCAACTTGGCTATCTACATTAAAAGCGTTAATGTACCCACATTTATTGCGTCGAGGCCAGGTCATTACATATGAGGACATATTAGATGAGAAGGGTGATTTAAAAACAAGACAGAGTTGAAAGATTTGGGATTTGAGATAGAATAGTGGGCCTATTTACAATTAAAGATATGAGTAAAGTATTAGTAGACGGAAAACAGAATTAGATAAACTATTACTAGGAACGGATGAGAAATTGATTAAAAAAACTTACAAAGTATTACTAGAATGCAAACTGGAAGAGGAAAAGGTGAAAGAAATGATGTTGGCCTGGATGAAAGATTTTGGATATGGCATAAATTTGGATGATTGGCAAATTTTATGGGACAGGAATAGAAAAATAACCTTTGGCGGCATCATAAAAGAAAACTTACACAAAATGTTTTATCGATGGCACATTTCACCATCAAAATTGGCAAGAATGTATCCGAAATTATCCCCTAAACGTTGGAAATGCAACAAAAATATTGGAACATACTACCACGTATGGTGGAAATATGAAAAAGCTCAAACATATTGGCTAAAAATTAGAAATTGGTTAGAAGAGATGTGTAAAATTAAAATAGAATTTAGACCTGAAATTTTTCTATTGGGAATCAGTGTGGGAAAATATAGAATAGGATACTTTATTGGCCAAGTGTGATTGGACACACAAGGAATTTGTCTTGGTGTAAATACTCTCAGTATATATAAAGAAAAAATACATTGGCTAAGAATCAAGAATCATAAGGTTAACGCTTAATGATATCATAGGGTACAATCAGCAATCAAATCATACTAGGAAACAGTCAATATAAATGGTAAGGATACAAGTGACAAAGTTACAGTCCTACGATCACAAGTGGGAGGGGATGGGTGATAAGGAGTGATGAGAAGATTAACAGTAATAGTAATGCAGATTTTGTAATAGTTGAACAGCGTTGAGGGAAATATTTGTTTAGCAGAGTGATGGCTTTTGGGGAAAAACTGCTCTTGTGTCTAGTTGTTCTGGTGTGCAGGGCTCTGTAGTGTTGTTTTGAGGGCAGGAGTTGAAACCGTTTATGTCCGGGATGTGAGGGATCTGTAAATATTTTCACAGCCCTCTTTTTGACTCGATGCAGTACAGAGGTCCTTGATGGAAGGCAGGTCGGTAGCCATTGTTTTTTCTGCAGTCCTAATTGCCCTCTGAAATCTGTGTCTGTCCTGTTGGGTTACAGAACCAAACCAGACAGTGATAGAGGTGCAGGTGACAGACTCAATAATTCCTCTGTAGAACTGGATCAGCAGCTCCTTGGGCAGTTTGAGCTTTCTGAGTTGGCGCAGAAAGAACATTCTTTGTGGGGCTTTTTTGATGACGTTTTTGATGTTAGGTGTCCATTTTAGGTCATGTGATATAATAGAACCTAGAAATTTGAAGGTCTCTACTGTTGATACTGTGTTGTCTAGAATTGTAAGAGGCGATAGGATGGGACGGCTTCTTCTAAAGTCTTCCACCATTTCTACGGTTTTGAGTGTGTTCAGTTCCAGATTGTTCCAGTTACACCAGGAGGCAAGTTGTATAACCTCCTGTCTGTATGCAGATTTGTCGTCTCGAATGAGACCGATCACTGATTTGTCATCACAAACTTCAGTATTTTAACAGATGGATCGTTTGAGATGCAGTCATTGGTATCTAGGGAGAAGTGGAGAAAGCACACAGCCTTGGGGGAGGGGGGGGCGCTGTGCTGATTGTACAGGTATCGGATGATAAAAAAGAGATAATATACTTAATAGTCCATGTCACCACTGCTGCGAGATTAGCGCTTGGCCAAAGATGGAAAGGTAATGATATGCCAGATGAGATGGAAATAATTTGAAAAATTTGGACGTGCACTGAAATGGATAGAATAACCCAAGAATTAAAAGATAAGACTGAATCTGATTACTACAAAATTTGGGAGAAGTTTTATCACTGGTTTAAAAAAGAAAGGAGTAAATGTATTAACGATGATTAATATTTATGTATATATGTAAATTTGTATTTTTTGTTATATGTATTATACAAGGATGTAAGACAAATAGGTTTGTCGGGATGTATGCACCACGTTCATTGTTTTTAAAAGTTTTTCTTTTTGTTGTTCATTCATAAAATGTATATATTTTTTAAGGAACATGTCAAACTCACCCTGGGTGGTGGGGGGAAGCGACTCGCAGACCCTCTGGTTGGCCAGCCTTGAGGCTAACCTGGTTCTTGCCCATCCAGGCCCTCCCAGCCTCGGAAGAGCATCTCCTGCGTGTTGTTGACCTCCCTCCACGGCAGCCAGTCGGTCGGAGGAGGCCCTGAGCCCTCTTCCCTCTTAACAAGACTGACCGGAAGTGGCCCCAGAGGAAGGAGGCGACCCCCTCCCCCTTCCTGATGCCCAGGGCTGGTCCGCAAGGATGCCCTAGTCAACAGTACTGAATGCCCCAAGAAATCCAGGAGGGCCAGAAGCCAGGGGCCCTCTTCATCTGAGCCTCAGTTCTACAGTCGGGCCTGCTTCCAGCACGGAAAAGGCTCTGGGGTCGGTCAGATTCACTCGGGGCCCTCCCCCGCCTTCCCTTGGAGAAAGGGGGATCCAGGGATGGCTCCTCTGGGGGAGGGGCCTGCCTCTGCCCCGAACTTGGCCTGTCCAAGCGGTGGGAGTCAGGGTCTTACGCCAGGGTCCGAAGGGAAGGGGGTTCACTTCCAGCAGGACTGAAGGGCTGTGGTGGTTTGGATCCGCCAGGGCCAGAATCCCCCCCTCACGCCCCCCCCACCTGCCCCGGAGTTCCTGTTCAGGAAGGGTTTTCCTGGACTTCCTGCAGCTTCCGTTGGAAGAGCAAAGGGTGCGTGTAGCCGGAAGGACTTGGTACACTTGGTCCTCTTTTGCACCCCTTGCAGCCTTTTGTGGGTTGGGCTGGGGTGTCTGGACTGCCACTCCCACCCTACTGGCCTTGTTGTGGGTGGACTGTCGCAAGGGACTGTCTTGGGGGGGGGGAGGGGCTTTGGGCCTGCTCCCAGCTTGGCTATTTTTGAGAAGTCTTTGAAAATCCAGCCCCGCCCCCCGGACTGGGGGTGGGGGTTGTTGGCTAGCTTTCTATGTGGCGGCTTTCTTCTGAGAGGCCCATTCTATTTATTTTCCTTCCTGAAGCTTTCCCCGGCCTGTGTGCTGTGTGCTGCCCAGGCTCTCCTCCTGGAGCCAGGCGGATCCCACAATCCAGTCGGGCAGGGTGAAGTGGCGTGGCCCCTCCAGCCGAGACCCTGGGTGGGGCCCTTTTGCCCTCCTTTCCGTGGTCTTCCGTGGCCTGAAGGAGCCCATGCTTCATTTGGGCCTTGGGTTATCCGGCCTTCTAGCCGCCCGGTGGGAAAGGAGGAGGCGGCCTTCGCCTTCGGACCCAGGAGCGGCCAGGGCTCTTGGGGAAGGGAGCCAGGTTCCCCTGCAGCTCCTGGGCCGTGTTCTAAAGCCGAGAAAAGCGGGCTGGAGAGAGGAGGATGGAGAGGGGTTCGCTTCCGCCGGCCTTTGGGAAGGAGTTTGTGAAGGCAGGCGCACTGAAGCTTTTGAACCCTCAGGAGCCTTTTCCCGGAAAGTCCACAGGACGAGGGGCCGCTTATTTGAGAAGCCTTTAGCCGGCTCTGGCTAGCGTGCAGAGGGGGAGAGGGGCAGAGAGGGCGAGAGCCTCTTCCTTAGCCTTGAACGCGTCTCAGGATGGAAGCCGTGGGAATTGTTTCGGGCCTCCTCCAAGAGGAACGTCTCTATTGCCCTGGTCAGTTTGGTTGTCATTTGTGTTTTCTTCTAGTTGTACAACATCCTTTTTGTGTCATGGTTATCATATTGCTAAAACTTTAGTAGATTTGGAAGTGAGCACTGTTCCAGAATACCTTTCAGTGCTTTTTTATTCTAAATCTCTCAAAAATGTGTTGAATGGTAGGAAAAGTCCACCTGAGATTATTCTGCGTCCAAATCACAAGCTTTTGAGAAAAGACAACTGAGGGAAGCCTCTCGACTGGCTGTTCAGCCCCCTTGGATCTGCCGAGCAGGACTGGCAGGTGCTCCGGCCTTGGTTTCCCACATCGGCTTCAGGTGACAGACCTGGATCCGAGTGTCAAGAGAGCTCCGGCCTCTGTGGGGGGGGCTCCCTCCACGCCCCCCCCCCCCCCCCCGCGATAGGCAGGCTCAGCCTTTTGTGTGCCCAGCACCCCCCCACACACACACACCAGGCCTTGGGCACTGAGGGCAGCTGGGCCCGTTGCCCCTGCTGCCTGTACAGGAGACCCTAGTGAATCTGGGCTGCCCAATTTCACAGCTCCCCTTCCTGGCCGGGGGACCTTCTCAGCAGCACTGATTCACTAGGGTCTCCTGTACAGGCAGTCCTCGACTTGCAGCAGTTCACTTAGTGACCATTCAAAGTGACAAGGGCACTGAAAAAAGGACCGTTTTTCATTCCCAAGTATGACCTTTGCAGCTTCCCCATGCTCCCGGGGTTCATACTTACGACCATGGCCGTGTTTCAGGGTCACCTTTTGAACACTTCTGACGTAGAAGTTGATGGGAGGCCACATTCATTTAACAAGCAGATTACTAACCTATCAACTGGACTGATTCACTTAACAACCGGGGCAAGAACTGTTGTTAAATGGGGCAAAACTCACTTGGCTAGTGTCTCACTTAAGAACAGGAATTTGGGGCTCAATTGTCATAAGTCGAGGAGCCCGAGCTGGGATGCTCTGGGTTCCCTGCCCAATTAGCCAAAGGACAAGCGCCCGGTCGGTTCCACCCAATTTGCCCTGTGAGAAGCGGGGGGGGGGGCGGGGGGGGCGCCTTGGGGTCGGCGGAGCAGGGGTGAAGCCGTGTCCTCTTCCCCGCCAGGTAGGGGCGAGTGCGGCCTCATCCCCACCATGTTTTGGAAGTTCGATCTGAATGCAACGTCCCACATTGACAGACTGCTGGAGAAAGAGGACGTGACTCTGCGCGAGTTAATGGACGAAGATGACGTCCTGCAGGAGTGCAAAGCCCAGAACCGGAGGCTGGTGGACTTCCTCTGCCGGCAGCCGTGCATGGAGGAGCTGGTGCAGCTGATCAGCCGCGAGCCTCCCCTGGACGTGGACGAGAAGGTCCGCTTCAAGTAGGTACCCTGAGGTCGAAGACCGGGGAGGGGGGGGTGTCCCTCCCGCAGGGGTCCCGCTGTCGGGCCACCCCTCCTCCCCCTCCCCCTCATTGTGCGGAAGACGCCTCGTGGGTCCCCAGGGGAAGTGAGGGTGTCCCGTGGAAACCTTGGACTTTTCAACCAGAAATAGGATTGTTTCAAAACATGGGCAGCTTTCTAATGGCCGAGCCTGACCTTTGACCTTGGGGGTGGCCAGAGCTACCTCTGGGTGATGCGGGGGGGAGGGGGGGGAGACCCTTCCGGCATCCTGGCTTCTGCTCTCGGGCCTGGCTTGGGCTGGCTGGCAGTCGTTGGAAATTTTCCCCAGGTCCAGCAAATCTCCCGGGGGGGCAGGGGGGGGGAAGCCTGATTAATGTCACCCGTCCCAGGAACATCTGCCTGTCGGTCCCGCGTTGAAGAGGTCGGGGGCTTCGGTGGGGAGGGCTTCCTTCCCCCCCCCACCCCCCTGGGAATATAAAGAGGGAAGCAGCAGGGGGGTCTTCCTTTGCGGAGAGCCCAGCTGGGGAGGGGAGAAGGGGGGCTCCGAAGAAGGAAGTGGTGCAAAGACACAGCGAACAGGGATTCGGGCTATTGCCTGACACAGGTGGTCCTCAGGTGGCGACTGGTTCTTAGCAGCCGTTCAAAGTTACAGTGGGCCCGGTTCTGAAGCCCCCGCGGTCCCATGGCCGCCTTTTCAGCCCTCGGCAACCAGCCGCTGCCTTGGGGGCCATTTGCAGTTCCACCAGGGCCTATGACCTTGTGCCGCTTTATGACTTGGGTTCATTTAACGACTCCGGCAAAGAAGGTTCTTAAGTGTGTCCATTCAACCCATGCTCTCCAAGGAGTATGACGTACAGCCAAAAGAGGCAGGCTCCGTGGTGGTCGTAAGTCCAGGACTACCGCTGCTTTGCTTTCATGATGTGCTGGTCCTTCCATTCCTTTTTCTGGGGTCCTCGGTGCTCTCCGGGGTGGCTGGTTTCTTGCAGGCGTTTCGTTATCAGACTGGGGAACAGCGTCAGTCTAGCAAGAAAACCACCAAGCTCAGAGAGCACCAGATGACCCCACATTCCCTCCCCCCCCCCGAAACCACCTTCCCTTCCGGCACTGAAGATGCACAAAAAAGCCAACCAAACTCAGAGGGCATATCCAGCGCTCTCCTGGTGGCGTATTGGTCCTTTTCATTTCCCGGTGTATTGGAGGACTCACCGGCTGCCTCCCATTGTTCTTCCTCTTTGGTATCGTTTGTGTGAGCATCTCCTGACTGTTTTTTAGAATTTCTCAATCTCCCAGAATGGACGGCTTTTCCCTCCACAGAATCTTTCCCCCTTTGCTTATTGAGGTCCGCTCTCTTGAACCCTGAGCTGGCTCCGAGGAAGCCCCGGCCTGATTGCAGGCGAATGAATCCTCGGCCCTGCAATGCGAGGGCCCCCTTTTTCTACGTTCACCGTCTAATATTATCAAAGGCTCGGGTGGGATTCAACTGGCATTACTACCGGTTCGGTCATTTTGTTCAGTAGTTTTGCTGCGCACGCGTGTAATACACCATAAGCTGTGCTGCCCGAACAGCTGATAAGCGCTGCGTGCGGGTGCGCAGCGTTTGAAAAAGCACTTTTTAACTTCTTTTTCAACCTCGGTTGTGCCGCGCAAAGCAGCTGAGTTTGAAAAAGCAGGAAATAAAGGTCAGGTAAGAGCCCAGGCAGGCAGGTGGTCCACATAGCAGCAGACACAGAACCGGTTCTGTGTCTGCTGCTCTTCAGAGCTTCCGGTTCTATAGAGCCGGGCAGAACCGGTGGCCTCCCGCCCCTACGAAGGCTCTTCCGGAAACCCCAAAGGCCTTTGGTCAAAATGGAGCCGTAATGTTCCTGGAGAGACCCCCTGCCAGACATAGAGGAGTCCAAGGAAGAGGGGCCAGCCCAGATGTTGGGCAGAGGCCATCGGAGAGTCGGGAAGCCAGGGGGAGGGCAGCCCCCCCGCCCCCTTTTCCTTTTGCCTTGGCTTCCTGGCCGCAGCTCTCGCTCCAGAGCCAACCAAAGCGGCAGTGGGAGTGTACTGGATTTGGAAGGATTACGAGACACCTGCTCGCCCGCCTGCCTCTCCCCACGCCTGGCGTTGGTCTCTACGGATGCCCCCATCGCCAGGCCTCCCTGCCGACTCCTTTGCCTTGCCCAGGCCTGTTCTTGCCGTGGGTGGCGGGCCTTGGCAGCCCCTGCTTGCCCGCTCTTTGGGAGACCAGCAGGGGCCCCCGCTTGTCCTCAGCCTGGGCTTGTCTTCTGCTCCCGCAGGTACCCGAACACGGCCTGCGAGCTGCTGACCTCGGATGTGCCCCAGATCAGCGACCGGCTGGGGGGAGACGAGGCCCTGTGGGACGTCCTCTACGGCTTCTTGGACCAGGAGCCTCCCTTGAACCCCTTGCTGGCCAGTTTCTTCAGCAAGACCATCGGCAGCCTCATCGCTAGGAAAGCTGAGCAGGTGAGCGGTTCTCTCCTTTCCAGCCGGCTCCCCTGCTGCCTTTACAGGCCCCCAGCTTGAGGAGAGAGATCCTTTTCCTCGGGGGCAGGAGGGGGAATGGACCACGAGGTTCCTTTCTCATCCTCGCCCAGTAAAAAGGCTGCTCTGCCCCGGCCATTCTTCGGCGTTGCCCTTTATTGCATTTATTGTGCCCCTCCACACTTCGCTCTGTGGCCAAAGCATCGGCCTAGGCCTCGTTGCCCTCTGCGGGCCGGGCCGGGCCGAGAGATGGCTCCGGGCACCCAAGGCTGGGGCTTTACACCTGGGGCAGAGATTCACAGAGGAGCCTGCCTCCTCCTGCTGTACGGGTGGTTTTCCTAAAAGGCCCTCTCACTCGGCCGTCCGATATATATATATAGCCGGTTTGGAAAAGAACCCGTCCGCCCAGCCAAACTGGGCCAGACCCAGAGGAGTTCTGAAGGGGGGCGGGAGGGAAACGGCTGCAGCTCAGCCTTCCCCAGCCACTCCCTGGGAGCTCAGGAGGCAGCCTGAGTCCTTCGGCCTGGGAGCTCAGCTCCCCGCCCCCCCAGGGCAGTCAAAGCAGCCCCAGAGGGGGGGGGGGGGGGGGGGGGGCCCGGGGGGGGGGGGGGGGGGGCTTCCTCCCCCGACGGGGGGGGTTCTTTGGGGGGTTTTTAGGGCAGCTTGGGTTGCCCCCCCCCTTCAAGAAGCCATTGCTGGACCGCCCCCCCAGGCTGGACTGTTTCCGCCCCATCCCTGTCCTCCCCTTTCGGGGGAAGGTGGTTGAGAAAGTGATGGCGCTGAAACCTCCGGAGGCCTCGAGGAGACGGTCTGGACCGTTTGGATGATCTCTGGCAAGGGCGGGGTGGAGATTGTGCTCCCACCCTGGTGCAACTTGACCTTTGGGTAGGACCCGGTGGGTGGCACGGTGTGGGCCGGGGGGTGATTCCAGGGTTGGTGGGGGTTCCAGCCATCGGCCCCTGCAACTTGGGGAGGGGGTGGGGGGTGCGTGTCCTCTGCAAACGTTAGCTAGCAGGCGCCCTTGCTGGAAAGGCCGAGCCCTCATCCGGCCTGGCGGCTGGGGTGGTTTCGTTCGCCAGGTGGTTTCGTTCCTGAGGAAGAAAGCCGAGTTTGTGGACCTGGTGCTGAAGCACCTTGAGACGTCCGCCATGATGGACCTCCTCTTGCGACTGGTCAGCTGTGTGGAGCCGGTCCCCCTTCGCCAGGAGGTGCTGCAGGTCAGGGCTCACATTAGGGGGGCCTGTGTTGGGCGAGCGCCCCCTTTCAAAGGGCCAGGCCTGGCTGGGGGACTCCAGGAGGGCGCAGGGCCCCCTTCCCTTGGATGGAGCAGAGGTGGCCGGAGGGGAAGACCCCCCCCACTGGGGCTTTCTCTGCGTGGGATCATCCCCCTTGGCTGCCCGCCCTCATCCCTGATTGCTGGGAATGGCGGCGGGGGGGAGGGGGGGGTTGGCTTTCCTGCAGGGCTCCGGGTGAGTTGCTCAGAAGTGCCTGTTCTGGGCGGCCAGAGATGGCCGGGGCCGGGGTCGGGGGCCGGGGGTGGGGTCCTTTGGCTGCCGTGATTTCTTTGGAGCTTCTGGGACTAAAGCCTGTGAGATTGGAATAAGGGGAGGGGGCTGTAGCAGTGGTGGTGGGGGAAACACCCGAGGTTCAGGTGGGGCACTGGCTTATCTGCTGTTCCTCTCCCCCCCCCTCCATGTTGTGCTGCAGTGGCTGAATGAGGCAAAGCTGGTCCAGAGGCTGGTGGAGCTGATCCGCCCTCACCAGGAGGAAGACGTGAGTGTCCCTCAAGCAGCGGTCAAGGAAGGAGAGGGGCCCAGAGGAGAGGGGGGAGGCCAGCCGGCTCTTCCTGGGGGAGCTCCCCCATGGGCCTCCCCCCTCCCCCTCTGACCCCAAGGGCTCCTTCGCAGGGAGGGGCCTTTCGGAGGGGGGAGTCCTTCTCGGCCGAGCCTCCAGGCCGCCTCCGGTGGGGGTGGAAAACCTGTCCTGGCCGGTCTGTCCTGCCTTCTTCCCTCCCTCCTCGCCTTGAGGGGCAGCCGTCACCCTCAGGGTTCGGCCCATCCTCTTCCTTGGGGAAACGCTTCTCGGCTGCCGCTGCTGGTTTCCCGTGTCGCCCCGAAGCCTTCCTGGTCCTACGGTGGTTTGCTGAACAAGCCCACGTCTGCTTGATCCACGCCACCACGGACGGCTGTTGCTGGGCTTAAATACATACCTCTGCTGAATAACAAGGAGGTGCCAATTCATGAGCACAGAATTCATGCCAAATTGACCCGTTTAAAGGGCAGGGGTGAGGAAATGGCGGAATAGCAACTGGTGGAGACTTCATGATAGAGAGCACGGATGCACCGGAGGCTGCAACTCCTTGTTCAGTCCATCAGGGTTACGTAGGGCCCGTTCAGAAATCCCAAGGAGCACCTTGGATTTAGGCTGAGCCTGGAGGTTTGGGTGCAGCTGTGGAGGGGGCCTGCTGCTCTCTCACCTCAACCCCCCCCCATTTCCCCGGGGTTTGGGGGGGGAATTGCTCGGGCCTTTGAAGGGCCCCCTTGCCAGGAATGACTTGTTGCCCGGTTTGCAGAGACAATCCAACGCTTCTCAAACCTTGTGTGATATCATCAGGCTGAGCAGGGATCAGAGTAACCAGCTGCTCCCGGAGGTGGCCGACCTGGACCCTCTCCTGGCCTCCCTGGAATCGTAAGTAACCAAGGAGGCGGCAGCGGGGGCGGGGCCGGGGGGAGGAGGCCCCGGGAGGCGTTTCACTTGTACCGGAAGTTGCAGCCTGTACAGCCCCCCTGCGGTCATGTCACAGATTGGGTGCCCCCGTGAGCCAACCCCCCCCCCTCCCCGCGAGGGACGGGGACGCTGCAGCTCCCCCACCTGCCCGTCCGCACCCAGGGCCTCCGCTTCATCCCCCGCGGCCACTGCCATGGAGGAAAGGCGCCACAAGCCCCGTACGGCAGCCAGCCACGCCAGCCCCAGCTGCCCGCACTGCCCGCACGGCGCAGCCTCTGCTGTGCCCCACTGCCCTTTGCCGTTCTCCAGGCCGCGCTGCCCACCCCTTCACCGAGCCCCAGGTCCCCTTTCTTTGAGCCTCCTGCTCCTTCAGGAACCTCCCAGCCTTCTCTGGGTCTCTGGAGGACTAGCGGGCTACTTGCAGAACGGCAGCCCCTTGCGAGTACGGGAAGAAGGGGGGGCACCGGGGCGCCCCTGAGACTGCTGGTGGCCCCAGGTCTCTACTTAAGCCCCAGGACGGATGCCAACGAGTGCCCCTGGGCAGGGCAGCCCCAGGGCAGAGATCGGGGACAGACGGGGCAGTGGTGGGGGCTGAGGATTCCTGGGGTGTCTGCAGTTTCCTGCAGCCCCTTGCAGCACGCTCCGTGCTCCTTACCTGGGACCCCCTTCGCTTAACGACAGCAGTTCTCAGCCAGCGATGGCAGCCAGAGTGCCAGGACTGCAGCCGCTAAGAGATGTGGTGATGTGACGCTTTATGGTCACTTCCCTTCGTAGTGGGGATTATGGCCTCAACTGAGCTGCTCAGTGACAGACGTACCTGCCCCGGTTCCTTCCAGTGGTGGCGTTGCAGCACCCCACAGCCGTGCAGTTGCCCTTGGCAGCCCCCCCCCCCTGTTGGATTCCGAGAAGTGCGGTCAACGGGAAAGCTGGCTGGAGGGGGCGATTGGGTGGCCGTGGGGTGCCACGATGTCTTGGGGCTTCCGGTTGGGGAGTGCCACCGTGTCCGCCCTGAGTTGGCGTGGTCACGCGGCATCACCTGGGTCCTTTTGCTACAGAATGGCCGGCCCCAATTTCTCCCGGGGTGCTGACTTGCGTTTGGTGTCTCAGACAGGAGTGCGTGGAGCAGCTCTTGAAGAACGTGTTTGACGAGGGTTTGACGGAGGCCTGCATTGTGAACGGGACGCAAGTTTTGCTGACGCTGCTTGAGCCGAGGAGAGCTGGGTAAGCGGGAGGGTTCTTTCTGCAGGGCTCCCCCGCGCTCCTTCAGGTCCGACTGGCTTTGCGGCTGACCCCTTCCTCCATTGGGCATGCCGCCCTAGGAGGCCCCCGGGGGATTCCTTGCTTGCGTTAACGTGTGAGCACAGCGGCCAAGTTATGCTGAACTCAGATTGGGGGGGGGGGGGGGGGGGTCCAGGCTATGTATGGGCCAAACCGGAAACAAGGAGGGATTTCCTGACAGAACGGCTAATCCATGGAACGGCTTGCCTTGTGGCTGCTCCATCGTGGGAGGTTTTCACGAAGAGGCTGGACAGCTGTTTGTCCAGGGTGGCGTGAGAACTCCCGCCTTGGGCAGCGGGACAGGCTAGAAGATCTCCGAGGTCCCTTCCTGCTGTGGTTCTAGGCACAACCATCCCCAATGACTAGGCAAGGAACTCAACCCAGGGAGGGTCCGATGTTTGGATATTTCTTGAATCGTGTCCCCCTCGAGCAGTGCTGGCTTGGTTTTCCGGCAGAGCGGGGGTGGGGGCTCTGCTGCATGGCCCCCGGGCATTTGGCCTGAGCCCCCTCTGGCGCTTTCCTCTGGCCGGCAGGTCCTTCTGGGTCCGGGTATCGCTTGCTGCCTTTCCTTGGTCTGGAAGCGGAGCCAGTTCGGCCGGCCTGGGAGAGTTCAGGTGCTGGCCCAGCCGTGGGGAGAGCTGAGCCCTTGCCCAGCCTGAGGCCCCTTTGGGGCTGGCCCCTCCTCTCGGCCCCGGGAAGAGGGCAAGGCACCTCGGAAACAGGCCAGAGGAGACCCCCAGCGCTGAGCCCCTCCATGTGGCTGCGTCCTCATTGCTCTGCCCTGGGCTCCCCCCCATCCCCCCCCGGGTGAGAACTCGAACTACATGACCTTGGCGGTGGCTGTGAGGCGGAAGCAGGCCTGTTCTGAGGCACCGGCCATGGCTCCAATGTGGTCAGAACATGATTGGTTTGTCTGACGTCGGCTTATTTTTCGACCCACAGCTTGGAGGGCCTTTCTGACTCCTTCTGCCAGGGGTTTGAAAAGTTTCACCCTGTCAGTAGCGGCATCTTGCAGGGCATTGAGCCGCGCCTGAAGGACTTCCACCAGCTGCTGCTTCGCCCGCCCAAGGTACGAGGGGCGAATTCCTGCGCGCTGGCCTGGATATACGGGGACAGGAAGGCCTGGCCTTCCACGGCAGCCATTGACGACACCCTCAGGAAGGGGGCGGGGGGGGGCAGGCGCTAGGACCCAGAAGGAAAGTGTTGAGCGGGAGGACGGAGAGAAAGAGAGGGAGAGACAGAATGAAGAGGCGTCATAAGTCCCAGCCGAGAGAGAAATACTGGAAAATAAAGGAATCAGGGTTTATCAGATAGAGGCAACTGTCAGAAGAGAAACATAAATGACCACTCGAAATGGGGGCGGGGGGGGCGAGGTGGGCTAGAACTTATTCTATAAAACCTTTGAAATGGGAGAAAACGCGTATTCGGTGCTATGACGGCAACTTGAAGAATTAAATATTGTTAGACGTGAAAGAAAAGAATTTAAAGTTCAATCAGGGTTAAAATATGGAACATTATTATAAAATTCTGGAAACCCCTTTATGGACCTTGGCCGACATGTGGAGAGAAACAGCAATGAAGGGATTTGGGGAGGGGGGGGCTGGGGGGGGGGGCGGCCAGGGGGGGGGGCGCCTACATGGGGTCTGATGGGGGGGGGGGGGGGGGCTGCTGGCTTGCCTGGCCTTGTGGCCAGGAGCCATTTTGAACCAACGCTTCCTTTTTCTATCGTGTTGCTTTTTTCCCCCCTATTGTTTTCTTTTCTTCCTGACTTCGGTATTAGCCGTTGGGGTTATACAGTTCCTTGATAATAGTAATTTTTAAAAAGTCATTTTTTTAAAAGAAAGGGGAAGTTGACTGGCTCTGGGTGAGGTTGTGCCAGGGCTGAGGCCGACCGGAGAGGCCGGGGGAGGAGGGTCAGGAGGGCCTTTCCGGGGGGGGGGCACGTGGGGGGCGTTGCCGGTGTGCCTGGCAGAGCCTCCCCCAGTGGAGGGACGGAGGCTGCTCTCCGGGTGACGGCGGTGGCTGGCTCGGCTCAAGGGGTGGCCCCCTTCAGAACGAGGCCTGGGGCAGCCCCCTTGGCAGGGGAAAGGGGGCGCCCACCCCCTCCCTGCTCGGGCTCGGTGGGGAGCCGGCTGGAAACGCTGGTCTTCCTCCCTTGGTGGTGGCAGGTGGCTCCCATCCTGACGACCATCGGGATCCTGGAGGAGCCCCTGGGCAATGCTCGTCTGCATGGCGCCCGCTTGGTCGCCGCCCTTCTTCACACCAACACGCCCAGCATTAATCGGGAGCTGTGCCGGCTTAACACCATGGACCTGCTGCTGGTGAGTGGGGGTGGGGTGGGGGGTGGGGGGGCTAGGCTTGCCCCCGGGGCACCTGGAAAGTGGGTTTTCCAGGGATAAGACGTCGGTAGGCCTTGGTTTCCATACCGGAGAAAGGCATGTCTGTGCGTGCGTGCGTGCGTGTGTGTTACTGGCTTGATGGCAGATGACCAACCAAACGTTGGTCTGTCCTGTAAGTGCCAGTCTTTGGGGAGGCTGAAGCGTGCAAAGATTGCCCTGGGAGTTTTGATGGCGGAGGACTGACAGGATGCCTTGTTTCAGGACCTGTTTTTCAAATACACTTGGAACAACTTCTTGCACTTCCAAGTGGAGCTGTGTGTCACAGCCATCCTGATGCACTCAGTGCCTGGAAGCAAGCTGCTCGCGGAAAACAGTGAGGGGACGGATGGAAACGTCTCCTGGGAAAATGCTGAAGCGCCAGAGAACCTCACACTGACTCACGTAAGCGTCCTCGGGCATCGACGGATCCTCCTGAAAGGAGGTGGCGGCTGCCGCCACGGAAGCCAACCGTGCCCCAAGGAGGGGGCTGTTTGGACCCTCAGCCATTGGCAAAGAGCCACCGGTGCTTCTTGGCAGCGTCTTCCTCCCCGCCCTCCTTTCCTGTGGGAGCCGGAGTGGGGGCCCTGGTTCCCCGCCAGGGGGATTAGATGGCCCCCCTCCTCCTCCTCAGGCGGCCCTTAGGGTTCGTGTGGCAGCCCCACCTTTGTGGGTGACGATGAAGGCAGGCAAGGCCAAGGGTAAGGGCAGTGCTGAAGCTTCCCTCTGCCTTGGCATGAGAAGAGTCCCAGTCTAAATGGTGCGTTTTCAGGGATTAAAAAATGTTCTTGTCAGAAATGTCAAAATCAAACCCGACAATTCTGTGGCAAGACTGTTATTAAGCGTTGTAAGACGACAGCCCCCTCATAGCCCGAAGAAGTCTTGGTTTGTCCCTGCCCTGTGGGCCGTGTGGATGGTCCCTGGTGGGGCAGCCCAGGAGCTCTTCTTTGCTTGGAAGCGGCCTTCCTCCTTTCCTCCCGCTTGGAAGGTGCCGGCAGACTCTGACAGGGACCAGAGCTGCCTCCGGACCTCCGTTTGTGGCTCTGCCTCGGGGGGGGGGGGGCCTCCAGGGAGCTGCTTTGGCCCTGCTGCTCCATTCACCACAGCTGCTCTCCGGCCTGACCCAGGGCTTCCCCCTCCAGGCCTGACGTCCTCAGCTACCCACCCTGGCGGTGGAATCCCGGGACTTGAAATCGGCCCTCCTGGGAGGTTGGGGAAGAGAGGCTGACCTGGGCGGCCCTGTTTGCTCCGCTCTCTGCTGGGAGGGGGAGCTGGGAAAGGGGCCCCGGGCCTGGGGGCAGGGGCAAGGGGAGCCCCAGAGCAGCGCTGGCTTGCCCAGGTTTGGGACGGGCAGCCGCCCTTGGGGGCCACCTCTTGGGAGCTGCGCCTGGAAGGTTAAACCCCGCAGCCCAGCGGTGGCAAGACGGACCTCGGTCCCCGTGGGATGCTTAAGCCAATGCCCCGTTCGTGCTCGGCCACCCCCAAATGTGCATTGCCTCCTTTGGGCTTAGGGTGGTTGGGGGTGTGTGTAATTGGGAGCTGCACTTTCTAACACAGGGCAGCAGCCCTTGAGATGACGGGGTTGTGTCACTGTGTCCCAGTAGGAATGATCCCCTGTGGAAGTGTCACTGGGAGCAGCTTCGGCCTCCCTGTGGGGTTTGGCTGCTTGTACCCGTGTCAGAAAGACGGGTTTCCACTCCTGGTCCTGAGACGCTTCCGCTCTCTTCCTCTTCCAGCTCTTCCAAAAGTGCTGCCTGGTGCAGAGGATCCTGGACGCCTGGGAGGCCAACGACAAAATCCAGTAAGTCTCCGAGGGACCCCGGGACTCCTCCCTGCGCCCTCCCCAGGCCTTTTCATCGGCGCAGGTCTGGCTCGGCTCCCTTCCGGGGGGGACGGGGGGGACGACGACACGGGCAGCCTTTAGGCCAAAGCACAGCCGGATTGGCCGGCTCACCGGAATCGCTCGGCCTCCCCCTGGCGTTCCTCACACACCGTCTTTTTCTGGCTCAGCTGTGCAGTTGGTTCCCAGGCGGCTCTTTGGGGGAGCGATAAGGGGGTGAGGCGTGGCAACATGGGCCACCTGACCCTTGGACAGAGCTGGCTTCCTCCTGAGTCGAGGATCGCTGGGCCCTTTGGGGCTCTCCGGGGAGGCCATTTCCGGCCCAAGGCAGAGGGCAGCTGAGCCGCGGCTCCCCCGTGGCCGGACCTGCCCTGAGCCGCCTCCTCCGCCTCCTCCTCCCCCCCCCCAGCAGAGACCAGAGGGGAGATGGAGGCTGCTTGGGCTTCGGTGTCTCAGTGGCTGTTGCTCCCCGCTTTGGCTTTTTCAGGGCCGAAGGAGGGATGAGGCGTGGCAACATGGGCCACCTGACCCGGATCGCCAACACCGTTGTGCAAGCGGTGGAGAAAGCGCCCCCTGGGCACAGCCAGGCCAGGGAGTTCATCATCAGAGGTGGGAGGTGCTCCTCTTCCTAGGGCAGCCGGTGCCCAAAACCTGCCCGGCCCAAGCGGGGGGTGGGTCGGGGGGGGGGGGGGGGGGCCCCCCCCACCCAGCCGGGGGGGGGGGGGGGGGGGGGGGGGTCTCCCCTCGAGTGAAAGGGTCCGATGCTCAGAAGCGTTTTGTTTGGGGTCCGGACTCGGCTGGCCGGCTGCACCTGGTGGACTCCCAGGCTGGGGCCGACAGGACAGCTTTCCGTCCCCTGAGCCCCGGCACTAGGAAGCTGGATTGTAATTCTGGGGGTTTTTTTTAATTGTTTTAGAATTATTTATCTTACGTGGTTTTGTGAGTTGCCCAGAGTTGCTCCAGAGCAAGATGGGTGGCAAATCAGCTTCACAAATACATACAAGTCGGTGGGTGGGTGGGTGGATGCCAGGCAGGACCCCCTTCAGGCGGCTTGGTCCCGTGCCTGGCCCTGGCACCTGGAGTGGGCGGGAGGGCTGAAGCCCGGCCGATCCCGGCTCAGTCCGAGAGAGGCCGGAGGCGAAACCCCAGAGCGCTCAAGCTCAGCGGCCCAGGCGGCTGCAGAGCGTTGGCCTCTCTGCGCACAGGAGGGCCAGCCGGCTTCTCTCTGCTCTCCCGCTCTGGCCCGCCCGAGGCTCCGGCGTGTGGCCCTCTCAGCCCTGCGACGTCTCCGTCCTTGCAGGCCTTCCTGAAGACTGCCGAGGCCGCTGGGAGAGCTTCGTGGAGGAGACTCTGGTGGAAGCCAACCGAAGAAACACAGTGGATTTGGTGAGGCCTTCTAGCCTTCTGCCATTTTGAACCGGGGAGGGGCGGGTGCGTATCTGTAGGTGTTGGAGCTGAGGAACTGTAATGGAAGCTGCCCCAAGAGGCGGCCCCTGGGGGTGGCCAGCTTTTCCCTCCGGGCCGCCGGGCTCCATCTAGGGTCTCTCCTCTGCGCAGGTGACGGCCCACCACCTGCACTCCTCCAGCGAAGACGAGGAGGCCAAGGCCGCCTTCCCCAGTGAAGTCTCCCTCCAGCAGGTAGCTCCCTCGGCGGGGGCGGGGGCGGGGGCTCCCCTGGCCAGTTCCTGCTGCTCCGCTGGCTCGCTCCTGAGGCCATTCCCGGGCGCCCCCGGTTCCACCTTCGCTCGTGGCTTTGGGAAGAGCTGGCAGGCTCAGGGTCATCTTGGAAGGTTTAGGGAGTCAGTTCTGGTGTGGAAGGTGAAAGGGGGGGGCGGGGGGGGCCTCATTCGGGGCCCCTTGTGGTCCACCAGAGCCTCAGGTATGAGCCCCGCGGAGGCTGCCCCTGCATCGTAACTGCAAGGGTGGCCAAAGAGCCGCCTCATTTCCGCGGCCTGTTCAAGGTCCCTTGCGGCCTTTCGGAGACGAGCAAAAAGAAGGGAGAAAAAAAACTGGGCTGAGCTGGTGAGGTTCTCCCGCTTGCTGGGGACGGGTTGGCTGTGGGGCTGAGCCTTTGGGGGAGGGCTCTGCTCGGGTTTGGGGGTTGATGGGCCCCTCTTTGAGGAAGGGCACGTCTGCCTCAAAAAAGGGGGGGGGGGGGCAGAGTAGTTGATTGGCGTCTCTAGCCTTCCCTTTTTGGGGGGGGGGGGCCCCCTTGGGCCCCCCGGGGGGGGGCGGGGCCCCCCCCCCCGGAAACGGCGGCTGCTTCAGCTGGGGCACCCCACGGCTCCAACTTTCTGGTTTATTTGTTTGCTTGCTTGTTTCCTTCCTTCCGCGTTACTTGTGTCCTGCCTCTATTGTTCAGCCGACACAGAACCTCTGTGAGATGCAGCCCTTCAGGCCCCCCCACCCCCCCCAACCTTTAGCTGTGCTTGGGGTGCCTGGTTGTGTGTCGTATATTGGGGGGGGGGTTGGATTAGGTCTGGACGGAAGGGCCCCCTGGGTGTGTTCTGGCCAGACTCATCGCCTGTCCCTGTGGCTTCACCGGGGTGGGGGTCTGCTCCACCCCGCAAGCCAGTCACCACCACTCCTCCTCCTCCTCCTCCTGCCTCAGGCCTTCTCCGAATACCAGGTGCAGCAGATGACGGCCCTTTTCATGGATCAGTTCGGCTTCAATGACGAAGAGTTTGCCAATCAGGATGACAACATCAAGTGAGTCTCTTCTCCCCCCCCCCCCGCCCCCCCGCTTGGACCCAGATCCTCCTGCAAGCTCCCTTGAGGATCCCATCAGGGAGGCCCCTTCCCTGACTGCTCTTTCATCCGGGGAGGCCTCGGACCCCCCTCGTGCGTGGCCTTCCCTGGCGGAGAGGGCTGGGCACCCCCAGGGCAGGCGTTCCTTCACGCCCGGTGAGTTCTGTTGAAGGCAGCCGCCAGGGGACGGCCTGGGCGTGAGGGCACCGGGAGAGCTCCCCTCCTTTGGAGGCCTGGCCTAGGGGCTGGACGGGTGCGGTTCTCTTGCGCTTCAGAGGACGGGGGAGGCGGCCGTGGCCTCTTCCACCTTCTCCCGGGGGCTTCCTTCCCCATCGCAGGTTTCTCGCGGGGAGGGGGGGCTCCGAACGCGGCCCCCATGGCCTTTCTCCCCCATCTATTCCAGTGCCCCTTTTGACCGGATCGCAGAGATCAACTTCAACATTGCTGTAGATGATGACAGTGTAAGTAGTCCAGCCGGCCGGCCACTCAGGGGTTGCCAGGGCTGCCCGACAGGCACGAAACCTGCACTGGTCCGTCCTAAGACCCCTCCGCCTCCAGGGAGGGTGCTGGGGAGCAGCGGAAAAGCCTGAGGCCTGCTTGCCTGGCGGTGCTCCCTGTTGGAGCTGGATGAGCTTCCCTTCCTCCGTGGCTGCAGAAGCGAGGAAGCCCCCCCCGCATCCCCCATCCCCTCCACTCCGCCCTGTAGAGGGGTGGCGGGAGCAGTGGCCCCCTGTGGTTCATCCTGCCCAGAACGCCTGGCTCCTGGTCTGAGCCCCCTTGCTCAGCATTCTTCGGGAATGAGCGAGGCAGCGCCAACCACCGGAGCCCACTCTGGGCCGGGCACAGCAAAAGACGCCAGGGTTCAACTGGGAAGGCTGCCCTCCTTCCGTGGAGAGCCTGGAAGGAGAGAGCCAGCCTGGGCTCTGGGAAGTCACACCGGGTGGCCGCTGGGCTGCTCTTTGCAGGGCTGGCCTCTCCCAATGGTTCTCAGCCTTCGGCCAGCGGCCGCTCCGAGGGAGGATAGCCCTGGTCCAGCCCCTCCCAGCCCTACCCTCACGCTCCCGTGATGGCGCCCCTTCAAACTTACGACCAAGTCCCCCGTGATGGTCGCCACTTGCAAGCTTCCTCGCTGCTTCCAGCTCCCCACCTGCCTGGGACATGCAGCTGCCCCCGGCTAACGTCGGCTGGGAGGAGCCCCCGCTCTGGGATTGAGTTGCCAATGGCAACCGGCAGTGTTTTACAGTCACGCTGCTTAGGGATCGACATTTATTTATCCCTCTTCAGCATCATCCTTCTAACGTAAGTGGCTCTGGATGGGTTACAATAAAAGAAATATAATGTAAAAGCCTCCATGAGAACAAGTTAAAAACACAATTTAAAAGAGTTGTGATGTTAAACCTTGAAAGAATTCAAAAGCTTAGAAGACAGAACACCCTCCTGGCTCCAGCCACCGCCCAGGTTGCAGCCCTGAAGGTGAAGCCTTTGTAGAGCCCCCTTTATCCCCGGGCACAGCAAGGGCAGAGTGAGGACCGGTGCCTTGGCTGCTGCTCATCATCCTGCTGCGAGTGGGCCGTCGTAGCGGCTCTAACTGGCGATGGGTTGGGCTCGTCCCTCGTCTTCCTCCCGGGAGGCTCCCGGCCATTTCAGCCCCTCTAGGGGGGAGCAGTGGGGCAGGGGAGGCGGATCCTCTGCAGGGCCTCCAGCACCTGCCTGCCCAGGAAAGATCGCCTGGTCTGAGCCGGCGTTCGCCTCTCCTCTAGGCCAGCGCTTCCCTCTTTGAAAGCTGCTGCAGTGAACGCATCCAGCAATTCGATGACAGCGAGGAGGAGGAGGAGGAGGAGGAGGATATCTGGGAGGAGAACGACGTAAACTATGCAGCCCAAGCCAAATCACGGTCGCGGTAAGACAAAAACTGGAGATTGGCCCCTAGCAGCTGGAAGAAGAGAGTGGCCTTGGGGTCTGGGGGAGGCCGGCCTGCCTGGCCCAGGCAGCGGCTGCCCATCTGGGCACTCAGACGGTCAAAAACATCACAACCATGTAAGAAGATGGCGTTTCGCCAAGAGGCAGCCCTCGCAAGGCTAGGGACCAATCCAAGGTGAAAAGACTGGTGGGGAAGCCGCCCCCCTCCCCCCCAAACGAGGGTCGGGCAGAGCCCAGCCTTCTGCGGGAGGGATGTCCCACGGGGGGGGCGGGGGGGCGCTCGCTCGTCCTGGATCCAGTGGGTCAAGAATCCTTTAGCTGCAGTGCCCCTCCCCCGCCTGATCGAGTGGGACAAGCGGGGGGGCGGTTTAAAATGTAAAGCAAATAAATACTCTGAGATGGTTTGGTCGCATAAAGGGAATGAATAAGAACTGCCGTTTTTAAAAGAAAAACAAGCAGGTTGAGAGGAAAGAGAAGACCGAGAAGGTCCCGACTGGGGGATCCGTTGGATGAGATCCTAAAAAAGAAGGTGTGGGAGATTGAACGCTGTCCTAAACCGCTTGGAGTCCCTCCGGGCAGGCAGAGAAGGCAGGCAGGCTCCCTTGCCCCACCAGAAATGGGTCCACGCCCGTTCCCGCCCTTTGGGGCAAACCGCGGGGGGATTTTAAAGGGCTGGAATGCTCTCTGCAGAAGGAAGCTTCCCGGGGTGCCTCAGCTGCTCACCTACCAGCCATGGGGCTCTGCAGGTGCTGCCATCATCCTCCCCTCTCCCCCCCCCCCCCTTTCCCTCCCCTGAAGTAGGAGGAGGGAGATCGTGCGTGTCCCCCCCCCCCCCACACACACACGCAGTTGCTCTGGCAAATCTGTGGGTGGAAAACTTGGATGTAAACAGAGAGCTGGGAGCTCCGAGCCATGTTTGTTGGTCAATAGAATAGAATAGAACTGAATGGGAACAGAATAGAAGAGTTGGAAGGGACCTTGGAGGTCTTCTAGTCCGGGCAGGAGACCCTCTCCCATTTCAGACAAACGGCTGTCCACTCTCTTCTTCGAAACCTCCAGTGATGGAGCAGCCACAACCGCTGGGGGCCAGCAGTTCCCCTGGTCAATGGTTCTGACTGTCAGGAAATTCCTCCTTCGTTCCAGGTTGCCTCTGCTTCTTGCCCTGGTGCCCTCAGGGGCTTTGGAGAGCAGCTTGGCCCCCTCCTCTTCTTTGGGGCAGCCCCTGAGATATTGGAAGACTGTTACCGTGTCACCCCTGGTCCTTTTTTTTAATCAAACTAGCCAAACCCAATTCTAGCAAGTGTTCTTTATGTTTTAGCCTCCAGTCCCCTAATCATCTTTGTTGCTCTTCTTTGCACTCTTTCTAGAGTCTCAACATCTTTTTTTTACAAAACTGGATGCAGTATTCCAAGTGTGGTCTTACCAAAGCTTTATGAAGTGATATTAGCAGCTCACGTCATCTTGATTCCATCCTTCTATTAATGCAACCTAGAATCGCATTGTCTCTTTTGGTAGCTGTAACACACTGCCGGCTCATATTTAAGTGATTATCCACTAGGACTCCCAAGATCCCTCTCCCAGTTACTACTCTTGAGCAATGTACCACACGTGGTGTACCTGTGCATGTGGTTCTTCTTGCTAAATGTAGAGTCTTTCCTTTTCCCCCACTGAACTTGGTTTGTTTAGATATAGTGCCCAAGGTTCCAGCCTGTCAAGATCCGCCTGCGTTTGGAGCCTCCCCGTAGGTGCAGCTCCACTGAGGGCGACCCACTTGCGCAGTTCCTCATTGTCCTCTTGTTTCTGGGTCACTTTAGCTTTGGAGGACTTCGCTCTGTGGAAGGCTCAGGCAAAGGTAGCCTAGAAAATGGGGAACATGAGGGCGGCATGGACTCTGGGGAAGAAGAGGCTGAGAAGGGGACAGCTGTCCATTCCCAGGACCCCTGGAAGGCAGACAACCAGGCGGCGGTGGATCCCTCCTCGGAAGGTAATGAGGTTTGGGAGAATATAGCCAGATCTCCGGGGCGTTGGCTACCCATTCGAAAGGGCTGCACCCCACACCTCCTTATTTCTCAGGGCTGCCAGGTTGAAGGCTGGAGGGTGGGACCCCAGAACTATCCACTCCCCCACCTGTCTTAGTTCGATGCCTCTGAATTGGCCACGCGTGGCCGCCTGCTTTCTGTTCCCGGATGGGAGGACACTGGTGCAGGGACTAAGCCCCGTGTGGGGTTTGAGTGCACGGGGCCACCCCAGGCCCTCGACGGAGACGCCTGCCCCTTGCAGCGCAAGACGGGAGCCGGGGCCTCCGGAGGGCATGTCTGCGCTCGCCTTGGCCGTTCACGGAAGCTGCTTCCGCCCCAGTCAGAGGGCCCGGACAGCTGACCCCTAGCAGTCGGTGCCCCTGGAGTGTTGTGGCAGTCCAGCTTCCTTCACAGGCTGTACAGAAAACTGGAAATCTGTTTCTGCCAGCTGGAAGCCCGGATTTGGGGTTGATTGTGAGGCACTTTCTAAGAAAGAGTGAAGGTAGCAAGAGCTGTCAGAACAAGCACGTACCTTTCAAGATCCCCAAGGAGCTCTCTCTAAAAGGCAACTGGACTTTCTCGGGGTTTTTTCCGTGAAAATGTTTCGCTTCTCACCCAAGAAGAACTGAAGAAGCTTCTTGCATGAGAAGCGAAACGTCTCCCAGGAAAGGAACCAAGAACGTCCAGTTGCTCAGCCGTGCCCTTTGAGGTGACCACCCTCCCAGCGGTGCGCAAGTATGAAGGCATTCGTTCTTGGAAGAAACCTGAAGTGCAAGACCCCTCCGCTGGCTCCTCAAGCCACCTGGCTTCTCCTCCCCCCTCCCCGACTCCCCCCGCTTTGCCCGTCCCTGCTTCACGGTCACCCAGAGGGGTCTGCTGCCTTCCTCTCAGCGGAGCAGCAAAGCCCTTGGCCAGAGCCGCGGGAGCCAGGCAGAGGTCACCTCCTGGCCAGGGAGCGTGCCAAGGATCGGGCTCCGGCGGGCCCAGCAAGCGCAGGCTGCGCAGAACAGGGAAGGGGGAAGAGCGAGGCAAGGCGTCCGGAAAGGACACTCGCTGTCTGGCTTCCCACGTTCCAGATTGGGGGGGAGGGGGAGAGGCCTGGGTTTGAGCGTTGGAAGGGGTCTTTGAAGCCGGCCAGAGGGAAATGCCCTGGAGGGCAGGTGTTGGGGACTTAGTGGGGGGGGGGGGGGGGGGGCCCAGGGGGGCCGCGGGGGGCCCCCCGCCCCCCCCCCCCCCCCGTCGTCTTCCTTGCCGCATCGAGGGCTGCTGGGTCTGTGGGATGGGCAGAGCCCCAGCTTCTCCTCCGGAGGTGGAGGCTCCTTTGCCCTGCAGATGAGCAGGTGGGGGCCCTTTCTGGCAACTGAGCCCCCTGGGCTGCCCGCTGCGGCCCCTGCATAGCAGCCCCGTGGCCCTTTTGCCTTGCAGGGCCTGGGTGGAGGACGGCCGCTGAGCCCGTGAAGTCCAAGCCTCCAGCCTCTTGGGTGGCCACAGACATCGGGTCCAGCGTGTGGGATTCCGTAATGCCTGGCACGAAGGCTCCCGAAGAGCGAGGCTGGGCCCAGTTCCCGGACTTCCAACCCTTCTGCTGGTAAGGGGCAGGGGGAGGCCACACCTGCTTGGCAGGCCCCAAAGGCCCAGTGCCTGCCGGGCAGAGGGGTTTGCTCCCTGAAAGGGTTTCGGGGGTGCTCCGAAAGTGAGCAGAGAGGAGAGTGAGGACAGGGGCGTCGTATTCTGAAACGTTGGGCGACTCTGGGTGTTAGCTGAGAAATGGCACCTGCAGGGCCCATCCTGGCAGGGACCTGATTCGGGGGAGGAGGAGAGGAGAGTTCTGGAAGCATCTAGAAGGCGGTTCCTGACCTGCTCTGGATCATCTCGGGGCAAACCTTCGGGTCGCTCTTCCTGGGAAAGCATCTGAAGGATTACAAAGCAGCCCAGGCCTTTGGGGAAGCCGCTGGTTCAATGGAAGAGTGTGCCAAGGTGTCCGCCCCCCCCGCCCCCCACCCCAATTAAGAAATGCCTCCTTTCCATCCCTTTCCAGCCCTTTCGTGCCTTCCCCTGTCCCGGCCGGCCCGTGGCTTTCTCTCCCCTTCACACCCGCACCCCCACCTCCCCCTTGCTCCCCGTGGGCGCTCCTTTTCTCTCTGGAGGGGGCAGTCGAGGGCAACTGGGGCGGGGAGAGGGGGGGGCTGAAGATGCGGGACCCGTTGCTCTCGCGGGGGGCTTCCCGTTAGAGGCCTCCAGCTGAGGGCCAAGGCCGCCACCTCGGGTCTTCCCGTTGAATGACTGCCCCGATTTTGTCTCTCACTTGGGACAAAGGACTGGGGGAGGGGGAGGGGTTTACTTTCCCGGAGCTGCCGCAGGGCTGTGGCCCAGGGGGCCGTGCGCAGGGCCAGAAACACTCCGCCCGAGCGAGCGAGAGACTTGGCCTTTCCCTTCCAGCTCCGAAGCAGCTCCCAAGTGTAGCTCCCCGGTGGAGAACGACTCGGAGGGAAGTCCCAGGCAGAGCCAGGACGAGAACGGTAAGAGGAGGGAAGGGAGCTTCTGCAGGCCTTTCGGGGTGCCCGGGTGGGGAGGAGTCAGGCTCCCCTTGTGCCTGTGCCAGGCGAGATGCTCCGGGACGCTCTCTTTCCGACGGGAAAGGCCAGGCCTCCCAGGGAGTTCTGCTGGAAAGACCCCTCCCTCCCCCTCCCTTCCCCTCCCTCCCCACCACCAGCTTGGCCTGCCGGCCCTTCTCCCCCGGCCCTGTTGCCTGTTGCAGGAGGCAAGGGACCTACCTGAGCTGTAATGGGCCTTGGCCTTCACCAGCTCAGGAATTTGAGATATATTTTGGAACACTGATGTAGATTTAGTCAAGCTGAGGCAGAAATTTAGACCTCTGCCAGTATCCCCCTGGAAAGGCTTTTGAGGGGAAAGAAAATGGCTTGGAAAGAAGGCAGAGGCCTTGGAGGGGACGCTTAGCCCCAGTTCTCTGTCGTTGGGCACCGGGCTTGCCTCCGTCCCACCGAGGCGGCTCCCTTACGGCTGCCCTGTCTCAGGTGCTCAAGTGCTCCAGGTTCTTCGGAGGTTTTTAATTTTGTCAGCTAGCAAAGGGGTCTCCCTCGTTTTAAGGCAGTGCACAAAAGAGCCGAGCCTGGGCACGTGCAGCCTGGTGCGGGAGGAAGCCTTGCGTGATGGGGCATTGCCCGCTTCTCCTTGTACAGTCAGCGCTGCCGCCTCCCCTTGCTCCTGGAATGTCTGCGTGGCACGGAAGGCACCCTTGGTGGCCTCAGACAGCAGCTCCTCTGGTGGCTCAGACAGCGAGGAAGAGGACGAGGCGGCCAGCGTGGTCACAGAAACCCTCAGCCCAGGTTCAGGCCAGGAAACCGCCCCGCTGACTGTGGACGCTAAGAAAGAAAAGGCCCTCTTCATCAGGTGCGGACGTGGTCAGCAGGGGACCGGGGGCGAGGGCCGAAAGATGCCCTCCAGGCACCCAGGCAGTGGCACAGAGAAGGCGGGGAAAGCGGGGTATGGGGAGCCTCCTGAGGAGAAAGCCCCCCCAAAGCTGGAGAATGGAAGGGGGGCATCGGTGGGACTCCCCCGGCGCCAGGAGCTCCCTCCCTTGCAGGCAGAGCCTCGTTAGGGGCCAGTTGAAGGAACGATGTCGCCCTTAAAAGTCTTGTGACCCTTGAAGGACTTGGAAACTTACCGTATTTTTCAGACTATAAGACGCATCGGACCATAAGACACACCTAGGTTTAGAGAAGGAAAACAAGGGGAAAAATAGCATTCTGCCGGTCAAAAACAGGCCCATATTCACTCTATAAGATGCACAGACATTTCCACCCACTTTTTTTTTGGGGGGGGGGTGTCTTATAGTCTGAAAAATACGGTAATTTCTTCCCTTTGCACTTCATAAAGAAAATGCCTACACAAAGGCAACAAGTCAAATAAGCAAGAAGAGCCCCTTAATCTCCAACTTTGCCCCCAATGTCCAGGTAACTTTCGGCTAGAGAAAAACTCTCCCAGGAACAGCTTTTAACTGTAGAAAGTTCAGTTCAAAACAAGGCACATACAGACTGTAACTAAAAATCCAAACAAACAAAGCTGCAGTAATTAACTTGACAGGGCAGGAGAAAGACTTTCGGACTTGAAAGCATGGGAACACTCAGACAGTTGGGAAGACACCAGGAACACAGATAAACCATGACGAGACCAGATGAATTCACAATTTGCTCCCAACAACTTGCTGCGTGTAGCTTCCCTTTTTAAACACTGTGTTCCCAGCTGCAGCTAATGAAGGGAATCAGGGCCCTTTCCTCCCCCGTAAGCCACGCAATTCATGTTGCTCCCTTCTCCGTTCCTGCCTGCGTGCCCTAGGATGAAGAGAGGGTGGGCCTGTTTCTTCCTCTGAACTCCCTCTCCCTTGCTCTACCTCTCCCCTGCTCTGCCCAGCCGACTGTGCCCTTCCCCAGTTTCTTCCACAGCCAACGGAGCCATTCTCCCACTCCCTGTCAGCTACTTGGCCTCCCCCTCCGAATTAGATGCCAACAGGGGCATGACACAACTTGAACAGCAGCAGCAGCAGCTGCTGCTGCTAATCCTCGGATCAGGTCCAGAGTGGAGGTGGAACCGTCCCACAAGAGTCTAGCCACCTTTTCATCCTTCCTCGGCACCTGAAGCGTTGCCATGGCAGCCCCAAACTCTTCCTGGAAGGGGTGGGTTTCCAAGATGTGGATGTGAGGGGCATCCCTGAAGAACAGTTTTATTAAGAGGGCTCTAAAGGGAAGAAGCAACCAGGCCACGGATTTTAGGGTGGGGGTGGGGAGAGGCAAGTAAACGGCTTTGCTTCTCACGGGCCCTAAAAGACGAATGGGCTTCCGTGTAGAACTCATTGACGTTCTGAGTTTCCTTGGCAAAAAGAGACCCGGCCCTGCTTCGGTGCCCTTGATCGAGAGCAGTTGGAGGCAGCCTCCAGGCCAGCCATTAAGTGGGCGGGTAACATCACCCAGCAAGGGTGGAGCTGGAGCTCTCCAAATTGCCTTCCTGGAAGGAAAGTGACCAAGGGGAGAAACAACCGCGAGCGAAGGAGGAATTCCCCGACAGTGCGAACAACCAGCCAGTGGGACAGATTTTGAAGTTGTGGGTGCTCCAGCACTGCAAGTTTTTAAGAAGCGATTGGACAACCATTGGTGTGAAATGGCATGGGGTCTCCTGCCTCTGAGCAGGCGGCTGGACTAGGAGACCACCGAGGTCCCCCGCGACCCTGTTAGATTCTGTTCTGTTCCTTAGCTGGAGGTGAAAGCCAGAGAAGTTTTGCCTCTCTCTCTTCTGCAGGTGGTTCCCAGGAGGACACTTGGCCCTCCCTGGCCCGTTTCACCCCCTGAATTTCATTAGGGTTGTGGCTGGGAACAGGCCGGTGTCGCCCCAGGCCCACCAAGCTGGAGGAATTGAAAAGACGGTCCCAGGTGGTTCATGAATAGAAGGGGGATTAGTGCTGTGGATAGCCGGCAGAGGTGCAGATGGCTGAGGCGAGCGAGGACTCTGAGGGGTCAGGACCATCAGGGAGTGGACTGCTGCCTTCAGAGATTGTGGGGGCTGGCAGCAGCGATGAGGAGGTTCCCGAGGAGCCTGTGCCAAGTGCGCGTGCATGAAGGGTTGCTTGCAGGAAAGAACAATTACAGCAGCACAGGCGACTCGGGAGTAAGGCTGCAAGGTAATGGCCCTCAAGAGAATAAAAGCCAGGTTTTGAAAAAGCGTTCTTTGCAGAAGGCAAAGAAGCTCTGAAGCTCAGCTTGTGGACATTTTAGTTTGTGCTTGCAGAATCATATAAATTAGTTCTTATCTCTGGGTTTTTGGCAGCCTTGACTTGGCAAGGCTCTTTCTTGTTAGAGTTAATTAGTGGAAAGCAGCCTTTTTATCTGCAAAGGAACAGAATTCGTGATTAAACCTTAAAAGGTGGGGGCTGCTGCCTTCGTCTGTGTTTGCCCTCTGGGAACCCGGTTGGGTCAGAACAATTGCGGGCTGTTCTGGGTGAAAACAGGAAGTGCACAGGCCCGTTGAGGAGTATTAATGTAGGGTGAGCGTTTCTTCTCCGTTGAGGCTCGTAACGCCCCAAGTACCAGGTTGAGGGGAAGAGGGCTGGGTCACCATGTATTTTTGTTAATAAGCACCTGGTGCTGAAGGAGGCAGGTGCGGAGCTGGGGCGCTCAGCGTTTCCCCTCCTGGGGCTTTTGGCCTGCTGGGTGTGGGTGCAGCGACTGCACGGGCTTCCCACCCTCCTTTAAGGGCCAAACTTTGCAGTGGTGGTTGAAATCCTCAAGCCGAATTCAGAGGAGTCCAATTCTTGTGGCTGACGTTAGGCTGGAGTTGCTGGCTCTGGCTTTCAGGGCCCGGTGCTCTCACGACTTGGCAGACGGAGCCGCCTGTGGGCACGCAGGATGCGCCCAGGTTGAGCCGGGCTGGGCTTGACGCGTCCATGTTGCCCGTGGGCTGCAGCCCCTGGGTGGAATTGCCCCCCCCCCCCCCGCTTGAACCAGGCCAGGCCTTCTGCGTGTCTCCCCTCTCGCAGGCAGCTGTTGGCCCACAGAATTAAGGATGGGGAATTGACCTGTCTCCGCCCATCGTTTGCTCTATGACAGATCTTACCTGGGAAAAAGAGAACAGATTTAAACTTTAAGTAGGAGGGTCTGATCTGAATGCGTTTTACCCGGGGAAGGCGGGGCATCCTCCAGCGAGTATTCCCTCCCCCCCCCCCCCCCC